AAATTTGAATTTCGTTATTTTAAAACAGAGTAGAATAGGGCATTGTATAGTTTTTCTGACAGACTATATTCAGAGCAATTTTGATTTTATAATTGGGGTGCCTAGATAATACTTAGAGTTTTTTTATTCGCTTAAGTATAGAATTTCTATGTTTTACATTAGAGAGCATATGGAGTTGGTGTATATAATCCAAAACAGAGTAGAATAAGGCATTGTATATTTTCTTTAACAGACTATATTCAGAGCCATTTCTATTTAACTTTGGGGCTCCTAGATATTATTTAGATTTTTTCGATTCACGTAAAATTTGAATTCAGATATTTTACATGAGAGAGCATATTGAGTTGATTTATATACTACAAAACAGAGTAGAAAAGGGCATTGTATATTTTTTCTGAAAGATTATATTCAGAGCAATTTTGCTTTTAACATTGGGGAGCCTAGATAATATTTAGATTTTTTTCGATTCGTTTACATATAGAATTTCTGATGAGAGAGCATATGGAGTTGGTGTATATAATCCAAAACAGAGTAGAATAACGCATTGTATATTTTTTCTAACAGACTATATTCAGAACCATTTTCTTTTAACTTTGGGGCGTCTAGATATAATTTAGATTATTTTTGATTCGGGTAAAATTAGAATTTCAGTATTATACATGAGAGAGCATATTAAGTTGGTGTATATAAAACAAAACAGAGTAGAAAAAACATTGTATATTATTTCTGACAGATTATATTCAGAGGAATTTTGTTTTTAACATTGGAGTGCCTAGATAATATTTAGATTTTTTCGATTTGGGTAAAATTTGTATTTCTGTATTTTACATGAGAGAGCATACTAAGTTGGTGTATATACTACAAATCAGAGTAGAAAAGGGCATTGTATATATTTTCTGACAGATTATATTCAGAGCAATTTTGCTTTTAACATTGGGTTGCCTAAATAATATTTAGATTTTTTTCGATTCACGTAAAATTAGTTGGTTTATATACTCCAAAACAGAGTAGAATAGGGCATTGTATATTTTTTCAGACAGATTTTATTCAGAGCAATTTTGTTTTTAGCACTGCGGTGCCTAGAAAATATTAAGATTTTTTCAATTAGGGTAAAATTAGAATTTCTGTATTTTATATGAGAGAGCATACTGAGTTTGTGTATATAGTACAAAACAGAGTAGAAAAGGGCATTGTATATTTTTTATGACAAACTATATTCAGAGCAATCTTGGTGTTAACATTTGGGTGCCTAGATAATATTTAGATTTGTTTCGATTCGCTTAAATATAGAAATTCTGTATTTTACATCAGAGAGCATAGGGAGTTGATGTATATACTTCAAAACAGAATAGAAAAGGGCATTGTGTATTTTTTATGACAGATTATATTCAGAGAAATTTTGTTTTTAACATTGGAATGCCTGGATAATATTGAGATTTTTTCGATTCGAGAATTTCTCCATTTTACATGAGAGAGCATACTGAGTTGGTGTATATACTCCAAAACAAAGTAGAATAAGGCATTGTATATTTTTTCTAACAGACTGTATTCAGAGCCACTTTCTTTTAACGTTGGGGCGGCTAGATATTATTTAGATTTTTTTTGATTCGCGTAAAATTAGAATTTCGGTATTTTATATGAGAGAGCATATTGAGTTGGTGTATTTACTTCAAAACAGAGTAGAAAAGGGAATTGTATATTTTTTGTGACAGATTATATTCATAGAAATTTTGCTTTTAACATTGGGGTGCCTAGATAATATTTAGATTTTATTCGATTCGCTTATATATGCAATTTCTGAATTTTACTTGCGAGAGCATATGGAGTTGGTGTATATACTCCAAAATAAAGTAGAATTGGGCATTGTATATTTTTTCTGACAGATTATATTCAGAGCAATTTTGTTTTTAACATTGAGGTGCCTAGATAATATTTAGATATTCGATTCACTGAAATATAGAAATTTTGTATTTTACATGGAGGAGCATATGGAGTTGGTGTATATACTCCAAAACAGAGTAGAATAGGGAATTGTATATTTTTTCTGACAGTTTATATTCAGAGCAATTTTGTTTTTAACATTGGGGTATCTAGATAATATTTAGATTTTTTCGATTCGGGTAAATTTAGAATTTCTGTATTTTACATGAGAGAGCATATTGAGTTGCTGTATATACTACAGAACAGAGTACAAGAGGGCATTGTATATTTTTTTGAGAGATTATATTCAGAGTAATTTTGCTTTTACCTTTGGGGTGCTTAGATGATATTTAGATTTTTTTTGTTTCGCTTAAATATAGAATTTCTGTATTTTACATGAGAGAGCATATGGAGTTGGTGTATATACTCCAAAACAAAGTAGAATAGGGCATTGTATATTTTTTCTGACAGAGTATATTAAGAGCAATTTTTCTTTTAACATTGGGGTTACTAGATAGATAATATTTAGACTTTTTTTCGATTCGTGTAAAATTAGAATTTCGGTATTTTACATGAGAGAGCATATTGAGTTGGTGTATATACTCCAAAACAGAGTGGAAAATGGCATTGTATATTTTTTCTAACAGACTATATTCAGAGCCATTTTCTTTTAACTTTGAAGCGCCTAGATATTATTTAGATTTTTTTCAATTTGCGTAAATTTAGAATTTCGGTATTTTACATGAGATACCATATAGAGTTGGTGTATATACTCCAAAGCAGAGTAGAATAGGGCATTGTATATTTTATCTGACAGATTATGTTCAGAGCAATTTTGTTTATAACATTGGGGTGCCTAGATAATATTTAGATTTTTTCGATTCTGGTAAAATTAGAATTTCGGTATTTTACATGAGAGAGCATACTGTGTTGGTGTATATACTCCAAAACAGAGTAGAATAAGGCATATTATTTTTTCAAACGGACTATATTCAGATCCATTTTCTTATACCTTTGGGGCGCTAGATATTATTTAGATTATTTTCGATTGGTGTAAAATTATATTATCGGTATTTTACATGAGAGAGCATATTGAGTTGGTTTATATAATACAAAACAGAGTAGAAAAGGGCATTGTATATTCTTTCTGACATATTATATTCAGCGCAATTTTGCTTTTAACATTCGAGTGCCTAGATAATATTTAGATATTTTTCGATTCGCTTAAATATAGAATTTCTGTATTTTACATGAGAGAGCATATGCAGTTGGTGTATATACTCCAAAACAGAGTAGAATAGGGCATTGTATATTTTTTCTGGCAGATTATGTTCAGAGCAATTTTGTTTTTAACATTGGGGTGCCTAGATAATATTTAGATTTTTTCGATTCGGGTAACATTACAATTTTGGTATTTTACATGATAGAGCATACTGAGTTGGTGTATATACTCCAAAACAGAGTAGAATAAGGAATTGTATATTTTCTCTAACAGACTAAATTCAGAGCCATTTTCTTTTAGATATAATTTAAATTTTTTTTGATTCGCGTAAAATTAGAATTTCGGTATTTTACATGAGAGAGCATATTGAGTTGGTGTATATACCCCAAAACAGAGTAGAAAAAGGCATTGTATATTTTTTTTGACAGGTTATATTCAGACCAATTTTGTTTTTAACATTGGGGTGCCTATAAGATATTTAGATTTTTTTCGATTCGCTTAAATATAGAATTTCTGTATTTTAAGTGATAGAGCATATAAAGTTGGTGTATATACTCCAAAACAGAGTAGAATAGGGCATTGTATATTTGTTCTGACAGACTATATTCAGAGTAATTTTGTTTTTAAATTGGGGTGCCTAGATAATATTTAGATTTTTTTCGATTCGCTTAAGTATGGAATTTCTGTATTTTATATGAGAGAGTGTATGGAGTTGGTGTATATACTCAAAAACAGAGTAGAATACGGCATTGTATATTTTTTATGACAGATTATATTCAGAGAAAGAAATTTTGCTTTTAACATTTGGTTGCCTAGATAATATTTAGATTTTTTTCGATTCGCTTAAATATAGAATTTCTGTTTTTCTTTTTCTTTTTTTTTGTGATAACAGATCAATTTTAATTCTAGCACCTGAAGCTATACAAGGGTATGCTCTATAAACTTCATGGGACTGTTGTACACACTTGATAAAGTGACAACTGTGCAATACCACTTAGCATCTCAAAATCAGGAACATACTATTGAATTGCTTAAACACAATCCACAGAATTAAAAACAAAATCAGATGCCATCCACAGTTATACTAATTGTCCATTAAAAGCTTACACTTAATACTTGATATAACAATCAGTATCTAGCAGGGAACATTAGAAGTCATTTCAGAGTCTCATCCTGTTGTACTCTGTTGGGAAGGTTTCTTGAGTAGATATGTGACTGGCCAAAGATGGGTATAACCAAGACCAGACCAGCAAGTAAGAGCTCTACCACAGTTTCTCCAGTTCACTTGTTTTTCTTTGTCAGTTAAAAGTGAACAGTGAGAATTAAATACTTATCTTTACATATACACAAGGTATGCTGTGAAAGCATATCTGCTTACAAACATATAAAAATACTTGTTAACTAGTTTGATAAGAAAATAATGTATAAAAAGTATATAGCAAAAACATTAATCATCTCTGACCCCGGAAAGATTAATTCCATATTTTATATTACAGCAAACAAAAACAGTTTTAATTTTTCAAATCCCTTATCCAGAAATACTTGAAAAGGAAGACAAACTATTTTTACCCTTAGCGTGGCTGTGAAAAAGAGTTAAATTAAAAAATCAAGTACACTGAAATGTTTAAGTCCTGAATGAGTCCAAATATTTGACCACGTAGAATATTATCATCTTCAAGAGTAGGAGTAATAACACAGGCTTTTATGAGCAGTTTTTAATCCATAAATACGATAGGCATTTTGGTATTTTGGCCACCAGAAAACAAAAGCTGTAGTATCAGTCTGAGATGTTTCACTTTTGTAGATTCAATTCAGTGTATTTAAGGTTAACAAAGTCTGACATTGAAATTTTTAAAGATAGGCAAAAATTCACATTAAAAAAAATCCCTATATTTCTATTTAGAGTAACAGTAGGCAGTATGATTCCAAAAGTTAAAAATTATTTCACAACCTGTGGCTTCAGCTTGGCAAACAGCTTAGATTCCAAAACTGATTCATCTCTATTAAAATGTAAGCACTTAAAAAAAGAGCATGTCTGTGTATATAGACACATATTTTAAAGGAATCAGATATCTTTGAAGCAGCCTTAGTGTTTCCTTTAAATTTGTCTGGAAATGACCATTGTATTAGCTTCACGGAAAGGACTGACTAGCCAGCTTCTTGGTCTAAGGCTAACAAGGTGATCATTTGTCTAAGGCTAGAAAGGTACCAAATAAGATGTAAACTGAGGAGAGGAAGAGGAGATAAGGGCTTTTCCTGGCAGTTGGTAGCGAAAACTGAAAGGATTCTAGAAAATGACACAATGGCAGCCTTTCTTGTCTTTTTCTTTCCGTGTCGGTTCTGGTGAAGGAGGACATTCCTGCTCTTGAAATTTCCTGATAACCCGGACAAGTTCATGGAAAGCTTGATCTACATTCATCCTAATCTTTGCTGATGCCTCCATGTATGTGACCTTAAGTTGCCGTGCTAACTGTTGTCCTTCTTCCTGTGTTACCTGTCTTTGATGATCCAGATCTGCTTTATTGCCAATTAAAATCATTGGAAACTCATCACGATCCTTTACTCTGAGAATTTGTCTTTGAAACTTATAGATTTCTTCAAAACTGCCTCTATCTGTGACTGAAAAGACCAACAGGAAGCCCTCGCCAGTCCTCATATATTGTTCTCTCATGGCTCCAAACTCTTCTTGTCCTGCTGTATCCAAAATATCTAGCCGTGCTGCTCTGTCATCTATCACACACTGCTTTGTGTAAGAATCTTCAATGGTTGGATCATAATCTAAATAGGACTGGATGAACTGGATGGTGAGCGCCGACTTGCCCACGCCGCCACCGCCGACCACCACAAGTCGGTACTTCTCTTGGCCAAAGCCGTCCCGCCAGCCGGCCACGGCCATGGGGACGCCACAGAGCCCAGCCTGACCGCGCCAAGCCGCCGCTGCCGCCCGCCCTAGGCCCGGCTCCGGGGACGTGTGCGGCCGGCGGGCAGCAGGCGAGCGGCCGGGCGGGGGTCGCGGGCAGCGGGAGGTGTCGGGAGGACAGGTCCGCGAGGCGGCGCGGCGCCAGGGGCTGGCCGAGTAACGCCCGAGGTGCGGAGAAGTGGGGTGACGGCACGGGCCAGTGGCGGCAGCGGCTGGGGGGCACGCCAGAATTTCTGTTTTTCAGATGAGAGAGTATATGAAGTTGTTGTATATACTCCAAAACAGAGGAGAATAGGGCATTGTATATTTTTTCTGACCGATTATATTCAGAGCAATTTTGTTTTTAACATTGGGGTACATATTTAGATTTTTTTCGATTCACGTAAAATTAGAATTTTTGTATTTTACATGAGAGACCTTACTGAGTTGGTGTATATACTCCAAAACAGAGTAGAATAAGGCATTGTATATTTTCTCTAACAGACTATATTCAGAGCCATTTCCTTTAAATTTGAGGCATCTAGATATTATTTAGATTATTTTCGATTCGCGTAAAATTAGAATTTCGATATTTTACATTAGAGAAAATATTGAGTTGGTGTATATACTCCAAAAAAAAAAAAAAAAATAGAAAAGGGCATTGTATATTTTTTCTGACAGATTTTATTCAGAGCACTTTTGCTTTTAACATTGGGGTGCCTAGAAAATATTTAGATTTTTTTCGAATCACGTAAAATTAGAATTTCGGTATTTTACATGATAGAGCATACTGAGTTGGTGTACATACTCCAAAACAGAGTAGATCAAGGCATTGTATATTTTTTCTAACAGACTATATTCAGAGCCATTTTCTTTTACGGAGATATTATTTAGATTTTTTTCGATTTGCGTAAAATTAGAATTTCAGTATTTTACATGAGAGAGCATATGGAGTTGGTGTATATACTCCAAAACAGAGTAGAGTAAGGAATTTTATATTTTTTCGGACAGATTATATTTAGAGCAATATTGTTTTAACATTGGAGTGCCTAGATAATATTTAGATTTTTTTCGATTCACATAAAATTAGAATTTCGGTGTTTTACATGAGAGAGCATACTGAGTTGGTGTATATACACCAAAACAGAGTAGAAAAGGGCATTGTATATGTTTTCTGAAAGATTATGTTCAGAGAAATTTTGTATTTAACATTGGGGTGCCAAGATAATATTTAGATTTTTTTCGATTCGCTTAAATATAGAATTTCTGTATTTTACGTGAGAGAGCATATGGTGTTGATGTATATACTCCAAAACAGAGTAGAATAAGGCATTGTATATTTTCTCTAGCAAACTATATTCATTGGGGTGCCTAGATATTATTTAGATTTTTTCGATTCGCATAAAATTAGAATTTGGATATTTTACATGAGAGAACATATTGAGTTAGTGTATGTACTACAAAACAGAGTAGAAAAGGGCATTGTATATTTTTTATGACAGATTATATTCAGAGCAAGTTGGCTTTTAACATTGGGGTGCCTAGATAATATTTAGAATTTTTTCAATTCGCTTAAATATAAATATCTGTATTTTACATGAGAGAGCATATGGAGTTGGTGTATATACTCCAAAATAGAGTAGAATAGGGTATTTTATATTTTCTCTGATAGATTATATTCAGAGCAATTTGGTTTTTAACATTGGGGTGCTTAGATAATATTTAGATTTATTCGATTCAAGTAAAATTAGAATTTCTGTATTTTACATGAGAGAGCATATTGAGTTCGTGTATATACTACAAAACAGAGTTCAAAAGGGCATTGTATATTTTTTCTAACAGACGCTATTTTGCTTTTAACATTTGGGTGCCTAGATAATATCTAGATTATTTTTGATTCACGTAAATTTATTATTTCGGTATTTAACATTCGAGAGCATACTGAGTTGGTGTATATACTCCAAAACAGAGTAGAATAAGGCATTGTATTTTTTCTAACAGACTATACTCAGAGCCATTTTCTTTTAACTTTAAGGCGCCTAGATATTTTTTAGATTTTTTTCGATTCACGTAAAATTAGAATTTCTGTATTTTACATGAGAGAGCATATGGAGGTGGTGTATATACTCCAAAACAGAGTAGAATAGGGCATTGTATATTTTTTCTGACACATTATATTCAGAGCAATTGTGTTTATAACATTGGGTCCCTAGATAATATTTAGATTCTTTCAATTCGAGTAAAATTTGAATTTCTGTATTTTACATGAGAGAGCATATTGAGTTGTTGTATATACGACAAAACAAAGTAGAAAAGGGCATTGTATATTTTTTCTGACATATTCAGAGCAATTTTGTTGTTAACATTGGGGTGCCTAGATAATATTCAGATTTTTTCGATTCGGTTAAAATTAGAATTTCTGTATTTTACCTGAGAGAACATACTGAGTTGGTATATATACTCCAAAACAGAGTAGAATAAGGCATTGTATATGTTATCTAACAGACTATATTTGGAGGCATTTTCTTTTAACTTTGGGGCACTTTGATATTATTTAGACTTTTTTCAATTCATGTAAAATTTGAATTTCTGTATTTTACATGAGAGAGCATATTGAGTTGGTGTATATACTACAAAACAGAGTAGAAAAGCGCATTGTATATTTTATCTGACAGATTATGTTCAGAGCAATTATGCTTTTAACATTGGGGTGCCTAGATAATATTTAGATTTTTTTCGATTCACATAAATTTAGAATTTCGGTATTTTACATGACAGAGCATATTGAGTTGGTGTATATACTCCAAAACAGAGTAGAAAATGGTATTGTATAACGGAGTACATTAAGAGCCATTTTCTTTTTACTTTTGGGGGCCTAGATATTATTTAGATTCTTTTCGATTCGCGTAAAATTAGAATTTTGGTATTTTACAGGAGAGAGCATATGGAGTTGGTGTATATACTCCAAAATGGAGTAGAAAAGGGCATTGTATATTTTTTCTGAAAGATTATATTCAGAGCAATTTTGCTTTTAACATTGGGGAGCCTAGATAATATTTAGATTTTTTTCGATTCGTTTAACTATAGAATTTCTGTCTTTTACATGAGAGAGCATATGGAGTTGGTATATATAATCCAAAACAGAGTAGAATAAGGCATTGTATATTTTTTCTGACAGATTATATTCAGAGTAATTTTGTTTTTAACATTGGGGTGCCTAGATAATATTTAGATTTTTTGGATTCTGGTAAAATTTGTATTTCTGTATTTTACATGAGAGAGCATACTGAGTTGGTGTATATACTACAAAACAGAGTAGAAAAGGCAGTATATATTTTCTGACAGATTATATTCAGAGCAATTTTGCTTTTAACATTGGGTTGCCTAGATAATATTTAGATTTGTTTCGATTCACGTAAAAGTAGAATTTGGTATTTTAAAAGAGAGAGCATACTGAGTTGGTTTATATACTCCATAACAGAGTAGAATGGGGCATTGTATATTTTTTCAGACAGATTATGTTCAGAGCAATTTTGTTTTTAGCACTGCGGTGTCTAGAAAATATTTAGATTTTTTCAATTCGGGTAAAATTAGAATTTCTGTATTTTACATGAGAGAGCATACTGAGTTTGTGTATATAGTACAAAACAGAGTAGAAAAATGCATTGTATATTTTTTCTGACAGACTATATTCAGAGCAATCTTGGTGTTAACATTTGGGTGCCTAGATAATATTTAGATTTGTTTCGATTCGCTTAAATATAGAAATTCTGTATTTTACATCAGAGAGCATTGGGAGTTGATGTATATACTTCAAAACAGAAAAGGGCATTGTATTTTTTTTCTGACAGATTATATTTAGAGAAATTTTGTTTTTAACATTGGAATGCCTGGATAATATTGAGATTTTTTCGATTCGGGTAAAATTAGAATTTCTCTATTTTACATGAGAGAGCATACTGAGTTGGTGTATATACTCCAAAACAAAGTAGAATAAGGCATTGTATATTTTTTCTAGCAGACTGTATTCAGAGCCACTTTCTTTTAACGTTGGGGCGCCTAGATATTATTTAGATTTTTTTTGATATGCGTAAAATTAGAATTTTTTTTATTTACATGAGAGAGCATATTGAGTTGGTGTATATACTACAAAACAGAGTAGAATAGGGTATTGTATATTTTTTCTGACATATTATATTCAGAACATTTTTGTTTTTATCATTGGGGTGCCTAGATAATATTTAGAGTTATTCGATTCTTGTAAAATTATAATTTCTGTATTTTACATGAGAGCGCACACTGAGTTGGTGTATATACTGTAACAGAGTAGAATAAGTCATTGTATATTTTTTCTAACAGACTATATTCAGAGTTATTTTCATTTCACTTTGGGGCGCCTAGTTATTATATAGATTTTTTAGATTCGCGTAAAATTAGAATTTCAGTATTTACATGAAAGAGCATGTTGAGTTGGTGTATATACTACAAACAGAGTAGAAAAGGGCATTGTATATTCTATCTGACAGATTATATTCAGAGCAATTTTGCTTTTAACACTGTGGTGCCTATATAATATTTAGATTTTTTCGATTCAGGTAAAATTAGTATTTCTGTATTTTACATGAGAGTGTATACTGAGTTGGTGTATATACTACAAAACAGAGTAGAATAAGGCAATGTATATTTTCTCTAACAGACTATATTCAGGGCCAGTTTCTTTTAACTTTGGGGCGCCTAGATATTATTTAGATTTTTTTCGATTCACTTAAATATAGAATTTCTTTATTTTACATGAGAGAGCATATGGAGTTGGTGTATATACTCCAAAACAAAATAAAATAGGTCATTGTATATATTTTCTGACAAATTACATTCAAAGCAATTTTGTTGTTAACATTGTGGTGCCTAAATTATATATAGATTTTTTCGATTCTGGTAAAATTAGAATTACTTAATTTTACATGAGGAAGCACACTGAGTAGGTGTATATACTCCGAAACAGAGTAGAATAAAACATTGTATATTTTTTCTATCAGACTATATTCAATGCCATTTTTTTTTTAAATTTGGGTCGCCCAGATATTATTTAGAATTTTTTGATTCGCGTAAAGTTAGAATTTCGGTATTTTATATGAGAGAGCATATTGAGTTGGTTTATATACTACAAAACAGAGTAGAAAAGGGTATTGTATATTTTGTCTGACAGATTATATTCAGAGCAATTTTGCTTCTAA